ATACAGTTTAAATTATTGTTTCTAATAGTGTAGAAGACCCAATATTTTTTAGACTCAATATTTCTTAACTACCATGTGTATCACCATACCCTAGAATAGAATATAGAATATAGATAATATTGCTTTGCTAGCATTTATATCACTCATGTCATAATAGGTTCTGAAACCTATTCTGCTTATGGGGTTGGACAGACCTTAAGTGGTTTTGTATTTAGAGCCCTACAGTAGTTAAGAAATCAACCAGAGAAGAGTCTCCAATTTTAAATTCACATCATGGTATCCTTATTAAAAAAAACAAGCCTATGGTGGGTGTGGTGATACATGCGTATAATCCTAGGAGGTTAAGGACGAAGAAATGCAAATTCAAGGCCAGCCTAGGCAGCTTGAAGACATCCTGTCTAAAACAAGGGGGAGGGCACCAGGCATGGGAGCATATGCCTGTAATCCCAGCAGTTGGGAGGCTGAGGCAGAAGGATTGCTTAGAGTTCATGGCCAGCCTGAACTGCATAGTGAAATCCTGTCTCAAAAAGACCAAAAAAAGCAAGTGGTGGGGATGGTAGGGAGCCTGGAGAAGTAACAGTGGCAGAGCACTTGCCTAGCATGTTCAAGACCTTGGGTTCAATCCCTAGCACTGGGGGTTCAGGAGAGGGAGATAAGCCAGTTGAAAAGTACTAATGTTCCCTAAGCACTATAAATAGGCATATTTATTTTAAAATATTACATATATATATTTCTAAAAATGTATGTAAGAATTTTCTTCCTCTGTTAATGATAAAACAACAGCAAAAATAGCATTTAATTAGACATGGACAAGAAATACAAAATTTCCTATAATGAAGAAATTGAATGTCAGCATGTTCATATAATATTCTAAGATTACAGCAAGGCCAAGGATTGGCAGAGTTGAGATTTGAATCTGGAGATACTGCCACAAACTCCTACATGGACAAGTCACTTCATACACTGGGACTTATATTTCCTAATCTGTAAAATGAGTAGAGTCTAAAATAGATGCTCTCAACAATCCCTTCTTTGGACAACAATGTTTTTAAATCCAAATTTACCATATATAAAAAATATCTCTGGCTAGGTGTGGTAGTTCATACCAGCAATCCTAGCACTCGTGAGAATGAGGCAGGAGGATCACAAGCCTGAGGCCAATCGAGGCTATACAGAAAGTTCAAAGCAAGCCTGGACTGCATAGGGAGATGTAGTTTCAAAACAAATGATATTAATAACTTTGTTGTTGTCCTTTTACGTCCTTAGGCTTCTCTGTCTCGTGTAAACACAGAATGATGCATATGTATAATCCTCCCAGGGAAGTGTCACATTGTCTATCACCAAGAGGCATCAGCCTGATGGAGAACACTGTTAGACAGTCCCATCACAAGTCCTCTGCACGGAGTCCAAAGAAAACGGGACTTAAAATGCATTGTACCTAACAACACCAGCACACAAGGAAGTTAATGATGCACGACAACAAAATTAGCCAGTGTTTTAGGGCCTAACCTCTCAGGACCTAAGTTTCCTTAGTTTTGGAAATGAAGCAGCTGTAGATAGAAGGAATTTCTCCTCAGGACGCAGCCACCCTGACACAGGAAAAACAATCACTTTTATTATAATAAGAAAGTCTGAGTAAGTTTGAAAAGCCACACTAAAATATAGTTATGGTATCTACAATATTAACCATATAAGTAAAGGTCTGAATCTATAGTTGGTAGGAAATGGCAGAAAAGAATGAAGAACTTTAGATGGGCATAAATTTAAATATATATGTATTTATCCTTAGATTCCAAAAACCCTGCTCAGTCTGTTAAAAAAATAAAGTTTGTATTTTATAAAACAAATCTAATATAAGGAAAAAAATATGGGCCAGGGATACAGCTCAGCAGTACGGTGCCTGCCTGGCAAGCCTGAGGTCATGAATTTGATTCCCTGTATCATAAATAAATATATAATACAAAAATAAAAAGTTTTTACTTGCCTAAATAACTTTTAAAAGTCATCAGAAATAAGATATCCTCTCCCTTTTCTAGAAAATGATTGTGTGCATGTATGTGTAGGCCTTCTGCATGCTAAGCATGTGTTCTAAAACTGAACTATACCCCTAGCCCTAGGTACGGGGGATTATACCCAGGGTCTTTACTCTGAGCTACATCCCTACCTCTCTTTTATTTTTCATTTTGAGACAGTATTGCTAAATCACTCAATTCCCCAGGCTGGAGTAGAATTTGCAATCTTGCCTCAGCTTCCCAGAATACTGGAATTACATGCATTCACAACCACACACAGTTTTATTTTATTTTTCTTTAAGAGATGAGGTCTGCCTATGTTGTCCAGGCTGGTCCCTAAGTCAGCTCAAGCTGTACTCCTGTCTCAGTCTCTCTGTAGCCTGATTCTTCAGGTTCTAATATTGCTTCAAAACCCAAAAGCTCCACCTTAAGAAACAAAAATGAGACATACAATATATATATTTCTTCCTGAGGCCAAATAAACAATGTTCAATTTTTAGTCAAATCCTTCCTCCAACTCTTTTGACCATTTTTGCCTACTCAATAGCACACCACAATGAAAAGACAAAAGAGGAGCTCAGTGCATTTACCAACATCATTGGTAAATGGTTTGCTGAGAAGCAACTGGCAATCCTGACATGACTAATCAACAGTGGGCTTGGTAAAACATTGTGGGTTTAATGTCATTCCAATCCCCTTTACAGAAGAAATTACTTAAAAGCTGATTATATTTAACAGTCAAGTAGAGGGGTACTCACCTGTAGTCCCACCTACTTAAGGGCTGAGACAGGACTATTTAAGCACTAGAGTTCAAAACCAGCCTGAGAAACATACGTAAGATTTTTTAAAAAATACAGATTGTATTCAGATTCAACTCCCAGAAAAAGAAACTAGACTTTTCTATACTCCCAGCTACTAAATCTAAACTTCCCTAAGAATTTAGGTTATCAGTTAGGACTGGATTTGGGAATAAAACAGTCTCTCCAACCAAATACAGTGTTGGCACTCAGACCTACTCACTTTAAAAGAAAGGACACATTCCCAAGCCAGGCATGGTAGCATAAGCCTATGATTCCAGTGTTTGGGAGCTGAAGCAGGAGGATTTTTAACAGTGCAGTCAACCTGGGCTACAAAGTGAGTTCAAGACCCTAAATAAAAAAGAGAGGAGAGAGAGATAGAGAGAGAAAGGCCAAAGAATTCCAGAAGACAGATTCTCCTTTTTTATACAAACTAAGCCTATCTTGTAGTATCTCTTTGCTTTACTGAAATAAACCAACTTTAGAGTAATGGAAAGGAACACACCTCAATGAATATTAAACTACTCTATTCCTGAAGGATCCCTGTGAAATTTGGTATAAAGTTCTCCTAAAGCTATAGGACATGGTGGCACATGTCTATAAGCCTGAGCACTCAGAAACTGAAGCAGGACAGGGCAGGGTGGTGCACACCTGTAATCCCAGCACTTGGGAGTCTGAGGCAGGAGGGTCTCCACAAATTCAAGGCCAGTCTGAACGACATAGCAAGACCCTGTCTCAGAAATAAAAAACAAAAAAAGCTGAAGCAGAAATGCAAGTTCAAGGCCATCCAGGCTAAGCATCAAAACTTTGTCCTTAAAAAATAATCTCCTTAAACGTACAGGCTTTAATGAACTTTCTTGAATTTCCAAAGACAAAAATCCTTGCCATTGCCCAAAGGGTCATGGAGGGGACCTACCCCAAAGAATATGAAATGTAAAAAGCAACCAAATGCAGGCTCCAACTGTACCTGATATTTTACCTCCGTTAGACTGTCAGCTCCCTCACCTTTCAGCACTGCTCAAAAGATTTCTATTTCATTTCCTTGGCCTCACAATTCCAGGTCAGTCTGATCCCCTCCTCTTTCCCCTTCTCTAACTGAGGCCAGAATCTTACACACAAATCAGTTTCTAGGGTAAGACTAAGTAAGAGCAAAAACCCCTAGCTAGCACAAACTCTCTCATCTCTCTGACTCCAGATGTCCAGGACAATGCCAACTGCTGTGGCTGTGTTTGGGAACAGAAAGCAACAACAGAAATAAGGACACTCTCCATTCAATCTTTTTGTCTGGGGCATTGCCTGGATTTTTCATTGGCATTTAATACCAAGACACAAGACTCATTTTTCATTAAAGTTGCAAGACTGTCACTTTGCCCAGTTTCAAATGGTGTAATTGATCTGCATTGTCTTAAATAACCCAACTGGTGAAGGACACTGCAGCTTTAAATATTTCAGTGCTAGCTAGCAAATAGACTCCATTGCAATATGGCTCTGAAGGTCGTGTCCTATTGTCTCTGTCCTTTGGAAAAAAAATCTAAATCTTTGTAGGTTACATAGGAATGGCTGCTCCTAGATCTAGAATTCCCACTATTCCACCTCGGTGTCGCTTACGGTTCCGGGTGTTCACTGGGATCTATAATTTTCCCGGTAGGGGCAATATGTTGATTGTTATTAATGATTCCAGAACCTAAGTGAGACAACATAAACACATGTGTTCACATTAGTTTAATCGACCACATTCAACTATTTGAAACAGCACCACTAAAGGGCTGTTAACCCTTTAAGAGTAAGGCTAGGGTGTGGGTGTGGACAGTTTTCAGTCAGCGCCTTGAGCCTAAGATTGCATAACCTAAAATGTGTAGCTACTTAAAATGATAGGAATCTCAGTCTACTCATCCTGGACGATGCCGGCACACGACCACACACTTGCAGCTTGTCCAGGAAGGTCAAAATAAGAAGCATGAGCACAGTGGGGAAAAAACAAACTAAAATGAAAGGTCCTCTTTTACTTTGACAGAGCGCACAAATACTATTTTTCCACATCTACCTAGAGAGGACCAGCCCCTGTGAACTCTGGGGGCAGCTGGACAATGCCTTTTTAAAGACAAAAACTGGTGCAATTATTAATAGGCAGGGAAGACAGGACAAAAGGAGCGGGGTTGGGGAAGAGGTGTGCAGGTGCACAGAGCATTACCTGAAATGGCAACAGATTGTTACCATTATCGGTCCGGAAAGCGTTATCCTCCATCCAAGACTTGGAAGTGAGCGGGGCCGCACGGGGGAACTTGGGTGGCGCGATCACGTTGCTGGAAAAGGGCTTTTTCAGCGGCGAGATGGGGTTAAGTGGAGAGGGAACCCCCACGCCCACACCGACGCCCACCGCCCGGCGAGGGTCCCGGCCAGCCTGCAGGCCGCCCCACGGGTTGGACGGCGCGCTCCAGGCGGCGTTCACGCTCTGGTGAGTGTTCCAGCTGGACGAGGCCGAGGAAGCGGCGGCGGCAGCGGCGGCAGCGGCCGCTGCGGCCGAGGACGAGGACGGCTTGCTGGTCATGATGGGCTGGTGGCCGTAGGCGGCGGCGGCACTCCTCGGTGCGTAGGGCGCCTGGCTCGGGCTGGCCGGCGACCTGCGCTGCTGCGGGGGCTGCGCCTGCGGGGGCTGCGCGGGCTGCGGCGCGGGCGGCGGCGGCTGCTGGTGGTGCTGGGTCTGCGCCAGGCCGATCTGCGGGGAGAAGGTGCCTCCGAAGACCGGGTTGACATGGTGCGGGAAGTTCTGGAAGAGCATGGTCCCGTTGACTGGGGTGATCCCTTGGAAGAAGCTGTCCTCCACCGCGTTCGTGGTGCCGGTGGACCAAGTGCTGCCGAAGGACGGCGACAGCGACGCGCCGGGCGCCGTGGGCTCCTGCGGCGGCGGCGGCGGCTGCTGAGGGGGCTGATGGAAACTCAAGCCCGGCAGGAGCGGCGACTCCATCTGCATCTTGTCCGAGCCGTTAGGGGCTGGCGGGGCCGCGGCGGGGCTGAGCGCCGGCACTGCGCTGCTGTCCTCCGGCTTGGGGGTCTCCGGTGAGAGGGGCGTGGACTGGGCTTCGGCGGCGCCGGGCTCGGGCTGGGGCTGGGGCTGCGGCTGGGGCGGCTGCTGCTGCTGCTGCTGCTGCTGCTGCTGCTGCCGCTGCTGCTGGGGCTGGGGCTGGGGCTGGGTTTTGCTTTTGTCCATCAGTAAATCATCCTGCATGGTTTGCGCGGCTGAAACGGGAAAAAAGAGAGATGCGTTATTAACAATGTGATCATTAATGCCCCTCTTGGAAGCGGGCAGATGTTTCACTTGTGAAAATCCAGTGCCACCGCTCCTAGCCAATTGCAATGCAAATCCATAATCCCCCATTTAGAGCAGGTCGGCTGGGGAGGGCGGTTCAGACAAGGTCCCTGAAAATACTGTGAGAGCGTCTTCACCCTTTCTGATGTCTTGGTTCCTTTTCTGTATTAATGAGAGATGTGCTTATAAGACCGAAAGACAGCAATTTCGCCACGTCTCTTTTCCCTTCACCGGAACTCAGAGCATTCACCCTGCAATGAGAAGCTGATTCTGGTTCCTGTTTTTTCCCGAGCACCACCCTCCCCCGTTATTTGCATACGTCAATAAATACTGCTGCGTCCTTCAGCAAGGTTAAAAAGACGCCGAGCGCGACCCTTTTTCCCTCTTCCTCAGATCGAGCTCTTACGAAAAAGAAACAGAGAAAGCCTTCCTGATTAGCAAACTGCGTTCTTGCCTTGATAATTGTTTCATTTAGCTGCAGCGAACCACGTGGGAGGAAATCCTTGGCATTTGTTAGAAGGGCTCAGCTGCACATTCTCTGGCCTCCCAGTAGCGGCAGCTACTCCATTTTGTTAGGAGACATTTAAAAAACAAAACAAAACACCGTTTTTAAAAAGGCGGAAACCTACTGAAAGGTTTGGAATTGCTTGCTTCTTGTTACTCTAAGGATTACGTTTTTTCTGTTTATTCTCCAATTTTCTTGTCTCCAGTTCTGGCGCACAAGGCGTTTTTTCGGCTTCTCAGGGCTTCATGTCTCAACAGGAGCCTGAGAATTTCTCTGCAGAGTGGAGAAATGCTTCTGGTTGGATTTGAGGTCAGCGAGGGAGACGGGAGAGAGCCAGAGAGAAAGAGGGAGGGAGGAAGACTGTGAGATGGAGTGGGGCGGGGCTTTAAAATTCATCTGAGATTTAAGTCGACAGTGAAGATAATTCTGGGGTTGCTAGATTTTCACTTTTGAATTCTCCTGCTGCTGCCTTAGTCACAAGACTCTGGCAAATTTAGAATCCATTCTCTTATCATTAGTATTAGCAGTGAAAGAGTGGTTTGAAGACCCTGAATTACCATATGCTAGCAAAAGCGTTAAAAATAGAGAAGTACAAAGTCCCAAATTCTCATACATTGTAATTATAGTGCATTGCCACCACTGCTTCATTTATCCATATAAGGAGTGTGTGGTATTTTCCATTTCGCATAGAAGGGCTATATTCACCTCTATCATACAGCCTGTTTTCTCATTCAAGGATGAAAATAGTAATCACTCAAAACCAGGAGATTTCCCTAAATGTAGTTATAAAATGCTTAGAACATGTTGTTTTAAATATATGAGTATCATTACAGGACTTGAAAACAAATATTTTGAAACATTAAAGAAGCATATGACTAAAGATACAATTATTTTTAGGTGCTGATTCAGTACAACCACAACAAAGTTATTAATATATTCAATAAGTTACTTAAATAGCTCTTATACTGGAGAAGCATCATTTTCAAAACACTCGTGATTCAGGGTGTGGTGGTGCACGCCTATAATCCCAGCGCTGAGGCTGAGGCAGGAGAATAGCCACGAGTTCAAGGCCAGCCTGCGCTACATGGCAAGACCCTGTCTCAAAAAAAAAAAAAAAAAAAAAAAAAAAAGACATTTGTGAAAGGTCTGCTTTTTGATAGCCTTTTGACAATATCTATTATAAAACGGCCATACTTCTGTGAACTATCAAACAAAAGAAGTCAGCCTGAGATTTAAAATAATTCTATTATTTTAGTAAAGACTATTCTTAAAATGCTTGATATTTTTCAAAGTTTCACACATAAAATACTGGCTCAAGGAAATGCTTTACAGCCACCTCACTGTTCTTTCTACCTCTCCCACTCCAGCCTCTCCCCTTCCCCCAGAAAGAAATCCCCAAACCAATATATTATGCATGACAAATTGCCAGCTTCTACCAATAAAATTTACTTAATATTGCTTTTATGTTCCTGAGCTCCCTTAGTCTAAAACAATGTCTTTGATCAGTATTGTAAATACAACACAATGAGGTAAATGAACATTGGGTTTAGACAGCCCAAAGTTCTGTCACTGTCAAAGAAGATGGCAGAGAAAAACACATTTTCATACTTGGTTTGAATTAATTGGTGCTGCAGTAAACCATTATAATTCAGGGATTTGAGTTCCTTCAAGTGAGCTAGAATTGTCTTTACAATAGTCATATCATCATGGCTGAAATATGCATTTGATTATAATTCTAGTATCATCAGCCTTTTCTGGTAGCTTGTATTCAATGCTTTTGCTTTCAAGTTTAAACTACATGTTCTTTGAAAAATTAATGCTGTACAAGGCAAAAAGAAAGCTGGACTCAGACTACTTTATAATTGCTATAATTAGTGCAGTCTTTGAATTTTTCAAACGTTATACCAGGAGTATTCATTTCTCAGCATTTCTTAAAGATACAAATTTTACTTTCTGCATAAATTCAATCTGTCAAGGTCAAGACCCACCTTAACCAAATAAGATTCCTTAAACAAAAGGTAAGCAGTAGATTAATAGAAAATTTACAAAATTAATATGCAATATCTCTCAATAATTATCCCATAGTTAGTTTGATTTGGGGTTTTTGCATATTTACAGCAAAGTCTGAGAAAGACACCTCCTTCCCCTCCCCCGCAACACACACAATAGATCGTTTTACATGCATTAATTTAATTTCAAATAACAAACTCATCTTAGCAGTTACCTTTGAGTGTCCAGTTTTTAAGGGTAGATAAAATTTTAAAGTGTACAGTATTTATGTTCTTTCAGGTTGATTGTGTGACCGCTCGGGCAAAAGCACTTTGACAACTGTGAGAAGAGAGGGCATGCGCACAGAGGGAACTGTGGGGGCTGAAGTCCTTCCCGAGGTACTCTGCCCGACTTCACGTTCCACCGGGAAAGGAGGAACCCTCGTAAATACTATTCCAAGGGTGAGGGTTTATGCCAGGATTACATGATAGCCTCTTAGCCAATCTAAATCAGTTGTTGAAATGAAAAGGGGGGGGGGAGATAAACTGGTTTGTCAACTTGATTTAGGAAGCCAGGTTAAAAGAGAAACTGAATTTTAGGAGACAGAATAAATACACCCAGCAGAGCTACCTTAAATGGTATGAGAATGGTAGTGACTGGGTAGCCAGCAATTGGAACTCTACCAATGAGAAGCGAATTGGAGTGAGGAGGAATAAACCAAGGGAATGACTGCGAAATGATAAGCACTTAGAGTGTGACCATACTTGAACACCTTTAATATATATAATTATACCTTAACATAAATGTGATATTACCTTAGAGATCAGGTAAAAGTAGATTTTAATCACAAATTTTTGAAATCTTATTTACTAAGATTTCTTTGTATTTAAATTTTCAATGGAGGTGTTATCACCTTTTTTTTTAGACAGAGTCTCATGTAGGCTGGCCTTGAACTCACCATATAGTCCATGCTCCCATAGAATTTGTAACGGTGCTCCTTCCTCAGCCTCCCAAGTGCTAGGATTACAGGCCTGCACCACCCCACCCCGTGTTCTATCACTTGTTTTAAAATTCTATCTGGTAGGCTCTCAATCAAGTCACCTCTTGATTTTTACTTAACAAAATGAAAGTGTTGTATTATTCATGCAGTAATTACTCAAAGTTCAACTCTTTGATGCTAAAATGATATTTAGTGAAGTAAGAGTAAATAACGTGGTATGTTTAGTGTTTCATTGCAAAAGATAATAACTTCTTTCTTTATTCAAGACAACAAATACAGTTTTTCCTTTGTGTGTGCACATGTGCGCACATGCATGCATGTGTTTATGTTACTAGAAATTAAACCTGTGGCCTCGCACATGCTAGGCAAGCAAAATGAGCTACACTTGGCTTTTAAAAATTTTTTTTTGGTATATAACTTTTTTATTGATATCAAGACTAGATATTCATATCAAATGTTATTTAATTGGTAGCTTCTGAGAGCATTGGTTCCAGAGCTGGTTTACTCATGTGGGCAGAAGATAGTATTTCACGTGGCCTCTGGTTCAGTGCCATTCACCCAAGGGGTTCAGAGTAAATGTCATTTGATAACTAGGCTGACTGAACTTGGAACTGAAAAATGTTAGGTATCATTTAAAACTATCCTTATTTTCTATTTCCTTTCTTTGTAAATTAGAACTAAAGAATTAGTAGAGACCACTAATTTGCAGCTAAGTTTACTTTAAATGTAAGTCTGTCTTAAGTTATTTGTAAGGAAAAAGGCAAACTAACAATGTAAGAATCATTTTGAATGAATCTGCCAAAATCTTGATGTAGAATAACTAAATGCTCACTTCTTCCTGCTGTGACATTTTTTGTTTTGTTTTGTTTTGTTTTGTTTTTTAGTATTGGGAATTGAACTCAATATTCCACATGCCAGACAGGCATTTATGCTGCTGAGCCACACCCCCAACCTGTGACATTAGTTTCCAATCTCCATTTTTGTTCTTTCTCTATCCTTTTAAAGAAAGCCTATGCCAGAGCTGATAGTGCACGTTTGTAATTCCAGCACCCAGGAGGCTGAGGCAGGAGGATCCCTACAAGCATGAGGCCAGCCTGAACTATAAAGTGAGCAAGGCCAGTCTGAACTTCATAGAAGACCCTATCTCAAAAAAAAAGTCTTATTTCTGCCAAGGTGATGTAGTCACATTTTGCATTTCTGAGTCTATAAGCATCAATTCAAGGTTAATCTTATTCCTAAAGAATCTGCTAACTCACCAAACTTTATTACATGTCTAAACATTCTTAAATTTCAAAAGAAAAAGCCCTCAGAAAATTCTTACAGCTTTAAGAATTTTTTCAGTTATTTGAAATTGTATATCAAGGTTTTATCAGTAAAGTAGACATTTTTATTTTTTAGGTATACTTGAAATGGTTTAAACACTAATCCACCTGACACTGCATGCAGGTCTACTAATAATTCACACAATGGAGAAAAATAAACTTTGGTGAGGTGGTATATGCCTGCAATCCCAGCACTCAGGAGGCTGAGACAGGAGGATCACTGCAAATTCAAGACTTGCTTGGGCTATAAAGTGAGTTCAAGGCCAGCCAGAACTGCATAGTGAGACCTTGCCTCAAAAAGACAAATAAGTAAAATAAAGAAATAAAATTTGGTCCTGGTCCTTGATAAATGATAATTATTTCTGTCCATACTTAATGTAATTTCATTGTATTTGAAAATGATCTAATCTCAGATGTTCTTTTCCTAACATAAGCATTCAAATCTATAAAGAAAATTACTCAATCCCATGGTAAGCCAGCTGTAATGGTGCATACTTGTAATCTCAACACTCAGGAAGCTGAGGTAGGAGGACTGCTACAAATTCAAAGCCAGCCTGGGCTACATATTGAGTTCAAGGCCAGCCTGGAGTACACAGTGATACCCAGTCTCAAAAACAAACAATAACAAAAACAAAGAATACCAAGGTAACAAATATATACCAAGCAAACAAGAAATTACAAGAATCTAATAAGGCCAAAACCTTTCTCTATTGATAGCTTGTTTTTTATTTAACCAAATCAGTAATTTGTGAAATTTTGTTTTTTGGGTCACAGCCATACTTCTAGGCTTCTTTATTCCTCCCTACTTTTTTCCTTTTTGGTTTTTGAAACAGGTCTTGCTATGTAGCCCAGGCCTTGAATTCTTACTGATCCTCCAGTTTCAGCCTCTTGAGTTTTAGGATTATAGGTGTGCGTTATCACACGGAGAACCTTCCTACTTACATCCTTTGTTTTGTTTTGTTTGGCTATCTTATCCAGGCTGGTCTCAAACTATGGGCTGAAGCATCTTCCTGCATCAAACTCCCAAGTAGCTGGAACTGTAGTGGGCCACGATGGCCTTCCCCATATATGTTTGATGAATAGATGGATAAACTGATGAATAAATAAAGAAGCAAGTTATACCATGTACAGATACAAATTCTGTATGATGAATGTTATTATGTAT